AGGCCTAAAGCCTCAGTCTGTGGCTTGGAGCCGACATATGCAAATTAGCCGCCATCTTGGTTGTCAGTTAATTTGCATATACTCACTGATTAGCCAATGAAAAGGGTAGCGGTCGTATGCCAATTACCATGTTTCTCTTTTATTAGTGTAGATATTCCTTATATAATAAAAGCCCAGCAACCAAACGGTAGAATGACTAGAACTAGTCAACCAGTCGCTATGACACACACTGACCACCAGGGGGACAGATGCTCAATGCAGGAGCTGCACCCTGGTGGTCAGTGAGCTACCACAGTGGGAGCATCACTCGGCTGACCGGGATGAGCAGCTGCTTCTGCTGCAAACCTCAGACCCACAGGCAGGAACCCAGGCTGCAATCCTTGCCTCCTTGCCCCAGGCTCCTCCTCCTTGCTCCCTGCCACCTCCTCTGGATGCCTGCAGACCACACAGCGCTGTTGCTGGGCTCGCAGAGATGACCCCGGAGGTTGGGAGGTGGGTGTGTGGCCGCCGCGGGACTGAGGCCTACTCCACTGCCTCTCAATACTCTTGTCCCTGGGCCCAGTCCTGACCGAGTGCCCTGGAGAGGTGAGTGCGCCAGCTCCACAGAAGATGCCGAACCAAGGAGCAGCCACTCAGAGGGCAGGTCCACAGCCGCTGGGCTGACCTGGGTGAGCGGCGCTCCCACAGCAAGCCCATCCCTGCAGGCCATGCCCCCCACCAGTGCACGAATCCTGTGCACAGGGCCTCTAGTATACAGTGGGGCCTTGACTTACGAGTTTAATTCATTCTGTGACAGAGCTCGTAACTCAAATTACTCGTATGTCAAATCAAAAAGTGAATGAGTGAGACACATAATGCTGGGCTGATGTTGTGGCATTCACTGTGACGTTCGCTGCGCCAACTAGCGGTGGGGTATCTGAAGCTGGCTCGTAACCCGAATTTTAGCTCGTAACTCAAAGCAGAAAATCGGCCGAGAGATGGCTCATATCTCGAAAAACTCATTAGTCGGGACACTCGTAAGCCAAGGCCCCACTGTGTGTGTGTGTGTGTGTGTGTGTGTGTGTGTGTATATATATATATAAAATTTTCCTCCTTCTTTAATCTATCTATCTATGTATTTGTTTACTATGGAAAAGGAGGATAGAGAGTAGATAGGCATGAGTTAGTGATTGGAATTAGTTAAGCTATTAGTAGAAGAAGAGAACAAGCGAGGAGAGAAAAAAGAGAAACAAAAAAAACAACAACTAACCAATAATCAAACAAACAACAACAAGACAGAAAGAAAGAAAAAGGCAAAAAAGAAAAATATTTGGATATTGAAGATAGTGAAGTGAGAAGTGTGTATGGGTTTAGAGCACGGGAGAGGAAATTAGATATATGAGTAGGATAAATTTTTAACAGGGAGTGAAAATAAAGGGTAGAGAAAAACTAAAGCAGGAACAGGGTAAGAGAAACAGGACGAAAAAGGGGAAAAGTGATGAAGAGAACGAATCCCAAAATAAAATAAAGAAAAATAACATAAAATAAAACTTTTAAAAAAGGATAAAATAATAGTATTAATACTAATAGATAAAAATATAATAAAAATAAGGTAAAATCAAGTGAGAGAAAAAATTAGTTTCTTAAGTAAAAGATAAAAAATAAAAATGTGAAGTAGTGAAGGTCGTTCACTTCCTCCACTGTTCTGCTTGGCACGTCTTTTTCCTTGCAGGTAGTCAGCACAGTATTGAAGTTTTCTGCGATCCATGGCTCCTCTGTGTCCTAAGCCACAACCCTATTTTCAAGCAGGCAGGATCTCTCTGCTCTCTTCGGTTCTTAGTCTGTCTTTAGTTATATTTACACACAAGAGTCAATTTCTGCTACAGCCCCTGGGTAGCAGTTTTTCTGTATTAATATTTGGGGCTAAAAGACCTCTTCACTCTGGCTCTGCGCGCAGGCTGCCTTTCTGGGTCCAGTCCAGCTGTGGGTTAATATCTAGAATCCCCTTCTGCCAGCAGCCCTGTGGACCCCCTTCCACATTCGAGGGCTACACTGACCCCACCAGCCGCGAATTTTGTAGGGAGCAGTCTTTCTCTGAGGCTCTAGTTCCCACTGCATCCGTTTCTCCCAGATCCTAGCCTGGATCCCAAAGCTCACCTTTCTTTAGGCAATGCCAGCTGTGTTCAATTCGCCGGTTCCGGGTGGGTGCTCTTTGATTCAGCTGTTCCTTCTGCTCTATGAGAAGGCACAGGGCCCATCCGCGAATTCCCGTTTGTCTCCCCCTGTGCAGACCTCCCAGGCATCCGTGGTTGGGGAGGTTGGAGTTCCCATATTCCTGGATTCCCAGCTGAGGTAACTGGTCCCTGGGCATTGTGGTTGTAAGGTCCCGGGAGGCATCCGAGATCTCCCCAGTTGAAGGTAAGGCTGGGGTTCTGATCACAGTCATTCTGCAATCACAGCTGTCTCCCCTTCAAGATGGTGCAGCCTTTGCGGCAGAGCCCGCTGCTCCTGGAGAGATTTCAGCCGCTGTAGAGGCTGCCCGGTCTCGGGGGGCCGGTCCGCCAGTCCCCAACAGTCCCTTGAAGTGTAGCTGTCCCTCACTCACAAATACTGACACTCCCCGCACGTCCATGCATTCTCCTTTCGTTCTCTCTCCAACACTATCCAGCAGCCTGCAGACCCGTTCCCCAGCCATCTTACTTCCCCTGTATATTTTTTCTTTAAGGAAATGTCTGTTCAAGCCCGTGGTTCACTTTTTAATTGGGTTGTTTGTTTTCTGAAATTGCGTTGCAGGATTTCTTCATATATTCTGAATATCAATCCCTTAACTAAGAAATATTTTCCCCCATTCCACAGGATACCTATGAAACGCTGTAGATTGTATCCTTTGACTCACAAAAGTTTTAATTTTGAATCCAACTTAACTATTTTTCTTTCAATGTTTATGCTTTTGGTGTCATATCCAAGAAATCATCCCAAATTCAATATTATGTTTTCCCCCTGTTTTCTCCTATGAAGTTTATAGTTTTAGCTCTTACATTAGGTCTTTGAAAGATTTTGGTTAATTTTGCAGAAAGAAAGCTTTCTATCTTGCACCATTGAGTGTGATGCTGGTTGAAGGATTTTCATATACGGCTTTTATTATGTTGAGTTAGTTTTCTTCTAGCCCTGATTTCTTAATGTTTTTATAATAAAAAGGTGTTGAATGTTTTTATGTATTGGATATTTAAATTTCCCTGTTTCTCTGTAAAATCAATACTGATTGTGGTTTCTCTTTTTAATGTATTTTTATTGATTTCAGAGAGTAAGGGAGAGGGAGAGAAAGTTAGAAACATCAGTGATGAGACAGAATCATTGATCAGCTGCCTCCTGCACACCCCACACTGGGGATGGAACCCATAATCAGGGCATGTGCCCTGCCTCGTAGTCGAACCATGACCTCCTGGTTCTTAGGTTGACGTTTAACCTCTGAGCCACGCCAGCCAGACTACTGGTTGTAGTCTCTCCTTATCTTAATTATGTTCACGTTTATCTCCATTTTAAGAAACGTCTGCTATGAAAACTCCACTCCCTCTCTCTCCTCTCCTCTGAAGGCTTCTCTCTAGGCTCCACCGTTCAGTCTCACACCAAAGGCATCTGGATGTGGTGTGTACGTCACCCTAAGAAACCAAACTACACCCTAGTTCTGCTTGACACTAAGGGGCTGGGAGATGTAGAGAAGGTAAGTGTTGAAGATTCAATTTGGAGACAATCCCCTCATTTCTAGGTATTGTCTACACTATTTAATATTTTTTCTTTTTAAAAATTTTATTATTATTATTTTAATTTTTATTCAAATAAGAGCTGGCACTTAACCATATGTGTTTTTTTCATTTCTGTTTACGTGCTAAGAGACGCAATTTTGAAATCAGGGATCATGAAAATATAAGGCAGAATCTTAGAAGAGCATAGTGCTCATTAGATAATATTCTAATTATTAACAAGAGGCTATAAGCTAAGCCAGTTAACACAGATGCATAAAGATACCACAAACAAAATCAGCCATGAGTCCTATCCTGCAGAGAACTTGAGTTAAGGATTAATGTTCGGAATTCCTAAACTCTGTTATTAACACAGTGGCCTTAGCAAATTATTTCACTTCTTTTACCCTCAGCTTTC